TGTTACTTTCCCTCGACAAGACTGTCACTGCTTCCTGGTCATCAGAGGCACAGGTATGGGACAGGGAAGTCGGGAGGGGGTTGGAACCAGCTCACCTAGGCTGATGTTGCTACAACAAGAGCTGCCTCCCTGCACCGCGGCCCCTGGGGAGGAGAAGAACCCCGGTCACTCCCGGCGTCACTCACTGCAGGGAGGCCACCTGTGGAATCCCCAGCCAGACTGGTCCCACCGGCCGGCTGCTGCAGCCAGAGGCTCCCTGCTCGGGTCGGTGGAAGGGAGTCACCGGAGAGCCGCAGCTCCAGCCCTCACCCAGGACCTGCTCCGAAGAAGCTGGGGTAGGAGGCTGTGCCTTTTGGGCTGCGTGAAGCAAATGTCTTCTCTTTTAGCGTCTAGTCGATAAATCTGGAAACATTTGGTTGAGCTAGACTGGTGATAAAGTGAAAAACATACAGATTTCTAACCTCATGGATTTTTCTGGCTAGTGGGCAATACAGACAGTACAAATAACTGCAGATGATTGATATCCTGGGGACATATAGGAGGGGGCTTAGTTTCAGGGGGTGTTGGTGGTGGTCTGGAAAGGCTTATGGGAGAAGAGGTTCCTTACACTGAGTCGAGAGGAATGACAGATATAGGGCAGGGAGGAAAGGGTTGAGGTTCTAAATCTAGGGGAAAGCATGGACAAAGGTCCTGAGGCAGGAAGGGGCTCGGGGAGAAATTCCGTGTCTGCAGAGCAGTGTGAGGAGCAATGAAGCTAGAGGGGAGGCAGAGGCCAGATTATGCCGCCCTTTGTCGGCCAGGTCAAGGGATTTAGAGTTTTTCCTGTGGGAAAATGGAACAATGGAAGGATTGGAACAAGAGGGATAAACCCAGTGTCTGGCAAATAGTAGATACTCTATATGTTATAAAATGACATGAGGAAGAGTAGCCCACTCTGAAAGTGAGATGGTTCTTCTAGAAGGTTAGACTTCAGGGAAAAAACTTGGTTTGGCAGCAGTAGGGCAGTGTAGAGGGTCTTCGATGGAAATGGATTCTAGATAAATACCTTATTCCATACAGAGGACAAACAAATTTATTTCATTTCTACCCACTGCACAGGGTTCTGTTGTATCGGTTTAATCATTCCCCTGTTGACGGGTATCTAGGTGAGATCCATTTATTATACCCACATATTATGTACAATATTATTGAAACTTTCTTATGGAAATCTTGGGTCATAAATGTNTTTAATCATTCCCCTGTGACGGGTATCTAGGTGAGATCCATTTATTATACCCACATATTATTACAATATTATTGAAACTTTCTTATGGAAATCTTGGGTCATAAATGTGAGTAATATAAAATTTTTATTGAATTTATTGGGGTGACATTGGTTAATAAAATTATATTGGTTTTAGGTGTCCAATCCTATAATACATCATCTATATGTTATATTGTGTGTTCACTACCCCAAGTTCTGTTTTTCAAATCGTGGATGATTCTTGTTGGATTTTTTTCCCCCCTGTTGAGTTTAATTTAGGTCAACAAAAAAGTTTTTATCCTGAGGTTTTCACACATTTGCTGCCTCCGATATCTGTGTCTCCTGCAGACCAAGCTGGGTGAGGATGGCGTCTGTGTTTCGAAGTGAGGAGATGTGTTTGTCACAACTATTTCTCCAGGTGGAGGCTGCGTATTGCTGTGTCGCAGAGCTGGGAGAGCTTGGGCTGGTTCAGTTCAAAGATGTAAGTTTTGCATTCTTTGGAGGCCAGAGGAAGGTGGAGTGGGCGTTGGTGACCAGGATACATTGCTTGGGGCTGTGCAGTTTTCAGGGTCCCATCATATTTGTGACTCCATTGAGGGTTTTAAGGCTCATTTGGATAATAAATGCAGCTAAAGTAAGTAAGGAAACCTTAACTGTGGGAGGACTTTATTTCCCTTAGAAGGGTAAGGAGGCCAGAGCTGAGGCATTTGGGGCTTGAGCATATAGATACATCAAGGTGTGTTTTGCCTGGAAATCTGTCTTGGGTATGTATGGAAATACCTATTTCCAAGACGATTTCAGTGACATTCTCTAGCATTAAAACATAGAATAAAATAACCAAAGGGCGTATGATGGCATCTGTTGCTACTAATGTGTGCTGGGTGCTGTCCCCCCCTCCAGTTAAACGTGAATGTGAGCAGCTTCCAGAGGAAATTCGTGAATGAAGTCAGAAGGTGCGAGTCAATGGAGAGGATCCTCCGTAAGCCAGTTTCCTACCTACTCTACCTGTGAGCTGGGGGGACGTAAATGGAGCGCAGGTCGTGGTCAACAAATGGATCCCTGTTTGTGCTTTTCAAGGTGATCTGGAGGTAGGGTGGGGGAGGTTAGAGGTTGGATCCAGGTACCGTGGCAGGTCCCTGGGACAATCCAGGTGACTGAGCTAGCCGAAAGCCACCTGTCCTGCCTGACCCCATTTCTTAGATAGGAGAGTATATAATCACCTTGGGCTGTCTGGTGGGGTTTCTTCACTCAGGTTTTCTGGAAGATGAGATGAAAAATGAGATTGAGGTTCAATGGCTGGAGAAGTCCCCACCGACCCCTCTGCCTCGGGAAATGATTGCCCTGGAGGTAGGTTCCTCCCTGCTTTGCGAGGCGGGGCAGGAAGCCTGTGTCCTGGGAGCTCATAGAGCCACTCATGGGTCCATTGCCCAGTTGCTGAAGC